TTGGGTCTGGCTGGCTTAGGAGACGCCATCAAGTTGGTAGCTTGGGCGCCAAGTCTCTGCAAGGGGGTAAGCCGAGAAATAGTAGTCGACGGAGCGGTCGATGGAGTAGATGCCACGCTGAAAACCGACGATTGATGTGACATGGACGATGATGGTGTAGACGAGGGTCTGGATGAAAATGAGAAACGGCTCAAATTCGGCGCCCGAGATGGAGTCTTGAGCGCTTGCGCCTTTGACTTGGTGGACTTGGGCGGAGGCATCATACTGTTTGTAGGGCGCTCCAAGTCATCCGGGGTCTCTGACGGAACGGTGACCTCAGTGTCCTGGCTAGTGTTTTGGCTGTCATCCAGAGAGACCTGGCTTTCATCGGGGCAGGAGACCTGTGAATCGTCATTAAAGATAGCAATTGGCTTTCCCCGTTTGTTATACGGTTTCCATCCCTCAAAATCAGGCAGATCCCTAAGTGTTTCTTCAATGGAGTCATCTGAAAATAGATATGCATCGCTCTTCGCCCTAACCGGACTCCTCTTGGTTTTATGAAGAGGAAAGAACTTGCTCTTTTTGGGCGAGCCGTCCTCTTCGTCCCCCTCGTCACATAGACGTGCCTTCTTGACTGGTCTGACCTGAGGCTCCGAAAGTGGTGCTTTCAAAGGAGAAGCGAGAGAAGGGTCACTAGTTGTTGCTGTGGCTGGGCTGCTGGCGACCCGAGCAAGCATGTTGGAGATGGGCTCTGTTCGCCGTCGTTGAAGCCTAGGAGAAGTTCGAGTTGGAGCTGAACTTGTTCGTCTCGGAGTTGATGTGGCGCGTCCGGTAATTTCGCCTTGGTTATCAACATATGGTCGAGGCAAGGGAAACACCCGCGGGACCATCCCCCCTTCAGTAATTTGCGCAACTCGTTGAGGGTCGACAGAAAAGCAATTGGGGTCCATCTCGCCCATGGGTATGCGACTATGTCCTTTGAAGTATGATGTTATTGGCTTTCTCGGCGGCTGGGTTTGGGTCGCCGTTTGGGAATGTCTCCTCTTAGAAGGTGTTGTCGCGATGACGATGGGTGACTTTGTGATGGGGTTGACGTCACCCTTTGCAATGGCCCTTGCAAGTTCGGGTTCAACATAAGCACCAATAAATGGCATTTCGTCGGCTGTGCGAGTACCGTCCAATTCTGTCAGATGAACAAGCTCACTCTTCTTTGGACAAAACACCCATTGATGCAGAAATGTTAGTTCTGCTTGATAGAACTGAGTCAAATAGTTTTCTGATATGCGCTTTCCATCAAACTGCAGCAAGCGGACAGCTGCTTCGGGCGACTTTGACTTTCGTAACATGCGATAGGCAGTCTTTAGGCCGACGCCTGGCAGACCGTTGAGGTAATCACAGCCGCTCATGATGGCCATTCGTCTGAAGTCGGCGTCAGTCCAGCCGGTGAGAGATACCTCGCGACAAGCACAGAAATCACGCCGGTTGATCTCAATGCAGTTGCCATACTGATCCAGTTTCGTCAAAAGACGTTTGGCACCAAAGACGAGCAGGTCCGAATCGTCTGAAATAATGCCATTGACAAGGCCTTGGCGTTCCAGGTAGACAAGCTGGGCGTCTGCCTCATAGGGGGCGACCACGTATGGGATGCCCATTTGCTTCAGCTCTTGGATTAGCGTCGATGCCATTTCCGGGGTGACGTCGATGCATTTTTGGAACTCTTGAGCAGCCTGCGACGTCTTTCCAGCTTTCAAGAGGTCGTTTGCTAGCTTCTTCTTCTCCTCTCGCCTCTTGGCACGCGAATCCTCGGTAGCGGCCTTGCTTGGAAGAAAGTCGCCATCAAAGACCATGTACGGGGTGACTCCAAAATGCTGAAGCATTCGGACGCGGTGCATGGCCGCGTTTACATAGCTGAAGGCCGTGGTTAGTATTGAGGGAAGTTGCGAGCTCAATGGTGACTACAAACCGTTTGGTGGGCTTGCCTCGGCCGAGTTCGACGGCACATGAGTAGGCAGCTCGGTGAAGCCATCCATACGCGTCGACAGCAAGAGTGTCACCGCTGCACTTCTTGAGCTCCGTGGGCCGTTGTATGGACTTGAGCAGGGGTAGAAGCCCTGTGTTCAGGTTAGCTTTGGGAAAACGAGTCGCGTTCGTGTAGGTACATACCCGACACGCCCATAGTGAAGGCCAGGAGTTGGCATCAACAGAATATGCTGTAGCAGTATTACTCAGGCTGGCTAGTCAAGGCGTCGACAAGTGCGTAGGATGCCAGGAGAGGGACTGGAGAAGTCGATGTCGTAGCACGCCGTGATCAAGAAGGTGCTGCAGCAGCTCAACGCGTGAGATGCTGTTGTTAGATGTCGACGGTGATATGGGGCTGAGAAGGAGCCGAGAAGGAGCTGAGAAGAGGATCGCGGGTTGAAAGACGGGTCAGGTCAGACGACGCGATGGTGAAGGTGAGGCACGCAGAAACACGCCGGCAAGATGTAAGTTCGAAGCAGGAAAGGCGGCGAGGTGGAGCAGCAAGGTTTGAAGGTGGAAGTCAAGTGCAACGAAGAAGCAATGGACGTTGTTTGGCGAAGCTGAGTTGATGGACATTGCAGACATGGACACGACCAGGGGTCGGTCGGCAGGTGGTCAGGGTGGCCAGGGTGGTCAAGTACTCCGCAGCGGTTGCTGGCGGTTGCTGCACTACCGTCGCTGCGCCTGGCCCATTGAAGCGAATTCAATTATTTATTTATTTTCATGCGTCAAGTGCGTTGCTTTGCCGAGTACGGAGTGCATGCATGCTCAAGTACTTACTTACACACATAAACACACCGCCATACGTGGTGCACCATGTCAGCAGCTCGCCGAAACCTCGTCCATCCAAGACGGAGGATCAGCGGAGGGCTGAACGCGTGCCATACATAGCCTGGCTAAACGGCTCTGGTGTTTGCGTGAACGCGTTGATGGACGGCTCACCGGAACGAGCGTGGCCCCCGGCGCGGGTTCGCGATACTGGGGCTCCCGGTCAACGCATGTCTGGTGCAGCATCGTCTGGTCTGCTGCGTAAATAAATGTCTGGTGGTACTAGTACGTACTAGTTAGCAGCCCCGTTCTCCGTATGTACATGTACATGTACACAGGAACTTGTGGCGGCTCCCGTGGCTTAAAGCGGTTAGTTCCCGCGCCGCCCATCTTGAACATTCGTCTCAGAGCTTCTTCAGGTCCTCGTGGTGAGCGTGTCTGCTGCTTCCTTGGCCTCCGAGTGGCGAGGCTCAAACCCGTGTCTTTCATGAAACATGTCATTTTACAGGACCCATGAAAGACAAATTCCTCCAACATGCCCTGAATCTGGAGTTGGAAAATATGTCACGTCCGTGGACAGCCCACAACCGGCTCTTCTGAGTGGTGGATGGTTGGTGGGGGCGTCGGCTGCCACAAGATCGGATTAGCGTTTGTATGTCACCGAAAATATTGACTTTTTTTTTTTCGGCGTCTCCATTACCGAGACACCATTCTATCTCGACAGGTCTGCCGCAGCAACTCGTTCATCCAGTATGCCCAGCTCATTACAAAAGACGCGCAAGCACATCGCCAAGAAGCGAAATGGTGAAGTCAATGCCTTGCATGCAAAGTCTAGGGACTCGCTGCGACTGCACAAGGCCGGCGTGCGTGACCAGAGACTAGAGAAGCTTGCCGCTGCAAGAAGCAAAAAGGAGCAACCTATTGGTACGATTAGCATTTTCAAGGGTAATTTCATCTGAAAACAAACACTAACCGAATTTTCTATTTTTTTGTCCTTCCAGTTGATCGAGTGAATTTCTTTCGGGAAAGTCTCGCCGAGAAGGATAACCAGTCTCTCGATATCGAGACGGTACAATCTTTTATCAAGAGGTGGGCTCAAACTCATTCCTCTCTTGATGCCGCGTGTAATTTCTGACCAAATATGAGTAGATTCATTCATCAATATGACGAGGAATATGATGGCCTCAAAAAGGCTCGTCGTCCAGGCAGGCCTGCTACCGCCCGAGAAGATTTACTCAAGCTCAAGATTGCCGCATTAGAGAAAGAGTACCAGACTGGATTTGGTAGGTTTGCAGTTTACTGCTGTTTTTTGTCTTGACAAGGCGTGCATACTGATAACATGCAGTGATTCCGAATGTCATGTCTGCCGAGCACGCAAAGAACTTGGGGAAGTGGGAAGGATCGTGGGCATACCTGTCCACTCTGCCTTGGATCAGGGTGTCGAGTTCTGGCCAGGTCAGATCTGCCGAGTTTCCCTCAAAAGGCATCAACTGAGGCAGCCAATGCGATCAAGCAGTTTGAAAGAGTAAAATGATTAATGGCTGGCTCAACAGAGTTACAGCGGCCTCTCTTCTTGACTCGCCCAATACGAGCCAGGTGGCCAGTAGTATCGATAAGGACGTCTATTGATGGAGGCCCTCTTTGTTTTGGAGTAGAGGAAAAAGAGCTCTGATTTGGAGGCAGGTTGTTGAGCTATGAGCAAAGCTCATGCATCCACGTCAGCCATGATGTGACGGTAGCGACAGGCCAGCGAAAAGGCGAGTCTCTCGATAAGAGAGACCTCGTTGCCAGCGCCTGCAGGCGTTTGGAGGAGTTTAAATTACACCTGAGCAAAAGTATTTTCGGATTTGGTGCCGGCCATGAATGGACGGACTGTTGGCCTTTGGCCATTATTCTCAAAGAGCGCATGATTTTATGAGTATAATAATGCATAAAATATAAACACAGAGACAATGATTCACGCTATCTACTCCCCCACCTCACTATTGTCATCAATTCACAGTTGTATTTTCATTGTCGAAGCATTTCTCACCCTTGGGAGACGTTGTCGGTCACGTGCAGCGCCAAATGGGACCCCTGGCGCCAAGCTCTGTCCCCATAATAGCGCCAGCAGCTAAAATTTCCGAGCTCTTTTGGCATCACACGTCAACACTTCCACTCGGAGCAAACTTCCATCCTTCTCTTCTTGCCTGCCTGCTTCCCACCCAAGCCCATCATCCACAATAGCCGCCACAATGCTGTCTCTTCGAAGCTTTGCGCGATCCGCCCCCCGGGCCATGACCCGTATCGCCAGTGCTTCCTTGCGCTCTGGCGTAGCCCGTCCCAGCATGCTCGCCAAATCCTCAGCTATCAGCGCTTTGCGACCTGCTCGCGCGGCCACCTTCTCGACGACTGTCGGGCGCCGTGCCGCCGACGGTGAGACTGATGACGAGCTGTCTGCTAAGCTGGAAAGCGAGATTCAGATCGAGGAGGATATGAAGGCACAGGAGCAGCAGCCCGCGAGCATCAAGGACTTTTTGGACAACAGCCCCTTCGAGCTGATTGACACTCCGGGCCAGGAAGTCGTGAAGCTGGTTCGCTCATTCGGCAACGAGAAGTACGTTACTGCCCCGTCGCACCAATCAAATCAACCTCAGCCATTGCAAGAAAACTAACCCGCCTCCAGAATCACCGTTAGCTTCTCCATTGCCGACATCACCAACTACGACCCCTACGCCGAGGACGCCGCCCTCGAGGACGAGGAGTTCGATGAATCGGCCCAAACCTCCGGCAAGCAGTCCAACAATGCGGCCGAGGAAACAGACGACATGGACGAGCTCGACGAGGAGGCCGCCGCCCCCATCAACCTCTCCATCGTTGTCGAGAAGCCTGGCAAGACCGCTGGCGCTCTCAACATCGACGCTACCGCCCAGGACGGCAACATTGTCGTCGAGAACATGTTCTTCTACGAGGACGCCAAGGTCGCCAAGGTGGAGAGCCCCGAGTCCGCGCAGAAGCGCGCAGACGTGTACCCCGGCCCGCCCTTCGGCAGCCTCGACGAGGATCTGCAGGTCCTAATGGAGCGATTCCTCGAGGAGAGGGGCATCACGCAGGCAATGGCCGTGTTTGTGCCCGACTACGTCGACGTCAAGGAGCAGAGGGAATACCTGCGGTGGCTGAGCAACGTCAAGGGCTTTGTCGACGCTTAATCCAATCCCATTGAAGCAAGCTCGTGTAATTCTAAAGGCGGAACCAGGTTCCGCCAAGACCAAAAGAAAAAAGAGGCGGGTGAAAAAAAAAAGCTGGAATGGGTTCAATTTCGGCCATGTCTTGCCATCTTGCCTGGGTATCCTGCAGTTGAAAAAAAAGGGGGGGGAGGGGATACCGGAGCCATTTACCTCACTCATGTTGTATTATTAGCAGCGTATGTAACCTGCGTGTATAAGGATGGAAAAGATCCAGAAAAATTAGCGGACTCATCATGAATACACAAAGTCTAATGTCGTATACAGTCTTCATCTCCTGGTTTCTGAAATGATGGGTTTTGCATGCCATCAAGTAAGCCCGATACGTCACGGTCAGATTGACACAACTCATCACCGCGAGCCTCAGAAAAAAACAGACCACTCAACTAGGACCTGCAATTCTATAATACGTCCGCTAGAGAACTAGTCCCGTACACCACCCCGTTTCATCTAAAACCAAATCAATACCCTTCATGAATGACTCCGTAAATAAGCAGCTAATAAAGCACAGATAACAGCACCGCCTGGTGGCCATCTCGCCAAACCAAAATGAGGGTATACTCTGCGGTTGCGTCCCTGGCCCCCCTCCACCTTCTCCTTCTCCTTCTCCTTCCCCTTTCCCAAAACATAAATATCCCATAATCCTATGCAGTTGTGTATATATGATTGTGCACCAGGCAAAAATCCATTTGTTCATCATTTGCTTCTTCGCGCTACAAGATACCCTCCATGGACCAGTCGCCCTGTTGCGCTCGCTCTAGCACCTGTTTACCCTTGTCGGTCAAGTCGGGCTTGCCTCCGTTGCCGACGACGTGTTCAAAAAAGACGGGCTGCCAGGTCTCCTTGTTCTTTTCGCGCTCGCGGGCCTTTTCGCGCTGCTTTTCCTCGAGCTCGACCTTGAGATCGGTGGCTTTGGAGAATTGTTTGGCGTGGATGGCTTTGGTCACGCCACCCCAGAGAGTGAGAGACTCGTTGGGGAGCTGCTGGTCTTCTGGGGGGAGGATTTTGGAGGCGACGTGGAGGGGGGCAATGTCTATGATTGTGTATTGGTGCTCTGGGGATACAGATTTCTGCGGCCTTGTAGTTAGAGACTTGTATGAGAGGAAGAGAGAGAGAGAGATAGATAGAGAGAGAGCGTGTGTACTGTGCTAGATGAGAGGTGGGGAAGAGAAGCTTACCATTGGCTTGGGACCAAGCGAGAAAACGACCTTTTCTCGCCATGGACCACTCAGACGAATAAGAATGTCCTCGTCGGGAACATCTTGCACGCGGGTCTTGGTGTCGTTTTCGGGATCATACCGGAAAACAACACCATCGATCTTGTTGGTGGTTCGGCCGAGCCAGCCTTCCTCGACGTAGTGGAGGATACACTTGAGCTTGGTCTCGGGACATGTGATGTAAGCCATTTCACTGACGGAAACACTGAGAGCTCCCCGCAGGAGACCGCCAAGATGTGCAGCCGGGTGCGTGAGCTGGTACGTCTCGCCACCATGCTTGTCCAACGTGATGAAGATGCCCATGTTGTGCTCTCCCGGAAGCACCTTGACCGAGGTGCCCGTGAACTTGGCACTGATTTGATCAAAGCCTCGGGCTGTGAGGCCCTTCTCCGGGCAGGTAATATGGAAGGCGCTCACGGGCGGGTGGTGAGAAGTCTGTTCGGTGAGGTATGAAATCCGAATCGGCTTCTTGTCCGGCGTCGAGGCCCCGTGCTTGGGAACGGAGAGGGAAACGGTGGATTCATTCTTGTCGCTCTTGGGGGGAACCTTCAAGCTACGCAAGGATCCTTTCTCTGACCCGGACACGCACCCATTGAGCTCGGCCGTCTCGATCCTCGGGGCATTATCTTCCGTTTCCCAGTTACACTGTGCAAAAAGCCATCTGTTAGCAAAACCAACGTTCTTGGGGTCCTCCGACTTCCCCTCACAAGCCCACATGCATTTTGCCCGTAGCGGTGTAACCTACTCTGAAGAATTCTCCCAAGCAGGAATTGTATGGTTTGCAAGGTTTGCCCTTGGCATATTTCAAGTCTTTGGTCAGCCAGAAGCGGATGACTTCCAGCATGCGGTCGAGGGGTTCCTCCGAGGTTCCAATGGCTATAAAGGCATTGGGGGCATCGAGGTAGGTCCAGTACTCGAGATTCGGTGTCGGCTCCAAAAGCTGCGAGGGCAGGGAAAATCGAACAGAGGCAAGGTCGGAAACGCCTATAAATCTATGAAGAGGTAGTATGTTAGCAAGCCTGGCCCTTTTTTTTACACTACTCCGCTGCCTTGAAAAGGGCAAAGGAAGAAGCTCCGGGCTGGGGCCGGTATGCCGAACTCGATGGTGGAAGTGAAACGGCGTAGCGCCGCCGGTGAGGCTTCGCCGAGAGCCCGCCCGGTCGACGCAGAGGTGTTCTTACTTTTTAAGAATACCCAAAAATGTTCGCAGCTTGGAGCCTTCGGTCTGCGGTTCGTCGGGCGCGTCGGTCGCCGGCGATGATGTCGCAGAGGGGGCTGTCGATGACGACATGACGATAGGCTGTGTCGGACGGTAGATGGCGGACGGTTTGCGATGCAGGGCCAACAGCGGAATGCGAGGAATATCCAGCAAGCTAGTGGGTGGCGGACCGCGGTCGACGGGGAGTAGTATATGTTGCTGTGCGTAAATGCAGATATCAGGCTGTTCGCAGAAACAAGAAGAAAAAGACTGCAGCAAAAAGTGACGAGTAGATTTATCAAAGGCCTGGCGGTGCTGACGAGCCGAGGAAACTAAAACACGGTTGAGCCCCTCCACTGGAAGACGATCTCTAGTCTCAAGGTCAAGTCTGGTCTGGTGCTCTGACGTCCGGACTGTGGGGCGCAGCACGAGGCACGGAGGCGTTGCGTGGCGGGACGGCAGCTGGGTGCCGGCGGTTGGCCGGTTCTAATGCTCCAAAGCCGGTGACTCGAGCCAGGCGCTGGGGGGGCGTTGGGGGCGCAGGAGCACTGAGGCGAGAGACGACAGGGCGCTGGTCCGGGCAAGCAGGCTGCATGTGCTGGCTGGGAGGCTTCAAACCCGAGCACTTGAGACGGCACCTGGGACCAGTGCTGAAGCAGGCGCCGAGGCCACACTGGAGGCGAGGCGGGATCAGGCGGGATCAGGCGGGATGCCACAGGGGGCCAGGACAGCAGCCGGAAACGAAAAGGTCAAGGTCAAGGTGTCAAGTCGCGGCGACCGCTTTGATCGTACCAGGCAGCGCGAAAGGGCAATTCGAACAAGGGAGATAAAGAGGTGGAGGATCGAACCGGCTCGTGCGATGCGCCAGAGCCTCTCTGACCAAGGGGACAATGGGCCTTTAAAAGAAATGCCCAGGCAATGATAATAAATACTTGACAAAACTGGAGAGTTGCGAGACCGGTTGACTAGCCGCAACGCCGCCACCTCATCTCATCTTGCCCCCGTGGCGCCGATTCTAAGGAGCCAATCGTCGGCGCACATGGGCAGATGCCTTGGCCCTCAATCCGTGTACTTTGATTGCCTGGGAACTGGTTCTGTTCCTGCTCCTGCTCCTGCTCCTGCTCCATGAAGACCCTGCCTATCTGATGTCCAGAGTGTAGAGCATTCAGAAAAACGCCCAATTTTTGCCCCTTGACCGAAATTGTCCGTCAGGATGAAGGCTTGTTCGAGTTTGAAATGCGTTGCAAGTACTCCGTACCCCGTAGTTACTCAGTAAATGCAGGGTGGAGCTATGCAAGTACTTAAGTACATATCCGAGTTGCAGATGTCGGTTTATGAGTACCGCTCTCACAGTCGTTGAATATCAAGTGCCATCTCGCAGTGAATCGAATTGACAGCGGTCCACGAGCAGCCCTCAAAGTACTGGCCATTGCCGAGTTCTAGAAGCTTGCATCGTCAAGTCGCATTTCTCGACGTCCTCATCCTCTCTGACAGGCTACTCAAGGAGCCCATCATTGATACACATGAACCACCACGCTCTCAAGGGCCTGGCGCCGATCGGACCTCAGAGTGGTGCTAGGTCACCAGGTCACCACTGATCGGACAAACGAATGCCATGCGCCAGTTACTCGGTACTTGGATGCCTGGCGATGCCTAGGGGCACAAAAGCACACATGCACTCGGCGGCAACATGGAGCATTTGGCCGTAGGCAAGTATACTCAAAGTTGCAGAAGATGCTGTTATACAGCGTGGCATGCAGGTACTTCAGATCCCGAGCTTGAGAAGGGAGATGCATTCGTCGGCCTGTGCTGTACTTGGTTGCACGAATTCTAGTTGTGATGGCATGTACGGAGTATTCTCAAGATAGTGGATGAGACTTCACATTGGTTGTTTGCCCGCAGCAACCGCAAGTCAACACTTCAAGTCGTGAGAGCGCTCCCAAGCCAGGTTTTGTCTCCAGACCGAATTTTATGCATGAAAATATGCTGCGCCATCCCACGCGCAAAGGTTCGGATTTCCGGAAGCAAGACGTTTCCTTGGCCGCAGCGTCACACTCTTGGCACACGACGTGTTTGGTCGAGAGGGCAATGTACATCTGTACTTATGTACAGATGTGCAGGTGGATGTGCAACATGTGCAAACAGTCTGGTTGAGCCAAGTGCAGCTGCATCACACACACACACACACCACATGCCACTTGTGCACAGCCAGCTTCAAGAACCCCACCATGTGGGAGCTTCCCGCGCATAATAGCTTGAACCCGCGACTGACCGGACCATCCTGTCGCAACCTCCTGCCATCACCTTTCACTCTTCACTCCAGAGCTCGTACAAACTATGCTTTCGCTTCTACCGAAACGAGAGCCACCATCCAATCAACATGTCCAGCTTTTTGCGCAGCAAGCAGGCCGGCATACAGAATGATTTGTCCGCGAGCATCCGCCCAGAGTTGTTCATGCCGGATGAACAGGCTCGCTACGGCATAAACAGCCAGATTGGGTGCGTTGGCATATTCATCCATGCCACTTCCGGCCGTCTTCTCCAGACTCCGAGTCCCATTCTCCCTTTCTGCCGGGAAATTCTGCTGACTCCCTGTCGTCCAATTGTTGCAGATGCCTCGGATATGATCCTGTGCAGTCACTTCTCGCCATCGGCACCAAGGAGAGCAGGTTCGGCCCGGGCAAGATATACGTCTTTGGCCAACGGCGAGTCCAAAAGATCCTGCAGCCTCCTCGTGCGACCTCTTTCCATTCTGTGCAGTTCAGTGCCAACAGACTGGTGAGTCTGGACAGCAAGAATGAACTCGGGGTCTGGGACTTGGACACGGGCGCTCGAGTCGCCGCCCAAGTCATTGCTGGCACTGCCGTCGCCTTGATCACCGATCCCATGCTGGACTGGGCCTTTATTGGCTTGCAAAACGGCGATATTCTGGCATATGACCTTGACAGAAGAACCATGACTAGATCTTTCAGACTCCCCAACTTTTGGCACCAAAAAGACCCTGCTGCTGCGAGGGCGGCCACCCTGGTATGCCTGTCAATGCATCCTCGAGATGTGGGCAAATTGATGATCGGTTACTCCCACGGCGCCGTCATCTACTCATTCAAACAAAACAAACCCATCAACTTTCTAGAGTACACGCTCCCTGCTGGTGCTCCAGGCGGAAATGGCGTGGGAGTAGACACCATGCGCCGGCCTCGACTGACACACGCGGTTTGGCACCCTTCTGGCACATTTGTCGCTACAGCACATGAGGACGGTAGCTTGGTCCTGTGGGATTACAGAGAACAAAGAGTCATCACGGCCAGAAATCTAAAGGACACGGGCGTTGAGAAGCCCGTGCCCAATTCGGCTGCTCCATCCTCCTCTGGGCGATATACCAAGATTGCGTGGTGCTGCAAGGAAAACTGTGATGATACTGGACTGCTCATTGCTGGTGGCGAATCTCCTGATACTTCTCCTAGGAACCTCACATTTATTGAACTAGGTATAACGCCCATGTATGCAACGTCATCATGGCAGGTCCTCGCGGATTACTTTAAGGGGAAGCGGCAAATTTCTCTATCACTACCACCCGGTGCACAGGCAGTGGACTTTCTCCTCATTCCTCGTTCATCTCCTCATTTCGCTGGAGCTCAGGACCCCATCGCCATTATGGCTCTTGTGTCATCTGGAGAGCTCATCACTATGAGCTTCCCATCAGGATATCAAATCAGCCCAACGAACCAACTCCACCCATCCGCCTTCTTCGTCCACCCTTTCGTAACAAAGGTCAATGTGTCGAGCTTGGAGCGTCCGCGATGGTTGACTATGGAGGAGAAACGAGACCAAGGTGAACTGTTGGTTACGGGCGGTGCCAAGGGACCAAGACCGAAGAAGCGGTTTGAGGAGAGAACAATTATTCAAGCGGCACATGGGGATAGCACTATCCATATTTGGGACTCTGGTCATGCGGATGAAATTGAGAACGACCGTCAACTGCAGATTGATGTCGCTCGCTCTTTAGACCGGTACGATGATATCGACATTACCGCAATGAACATGTCTAGTGCCACAGGCGAATTTGCAGTTGGTACACGTACAGGCGAGGCTATTGTTTACAGATGGGGAGGGAATCGGTTCTACGGACGTGACAACCCAAAGCAACTCGACCCTAATCCAAAGGGGCTTACCGATATCAGTTCTCGCGCCGAGCCTACTTTGAAGGAGGGACTTCAGCCGTCCATTCTGTACGAAATGATGCAAGGGCCAATTACCGCTATTCAAGTATCCAATGTAGGATTTGTGGCTGTCGGGTCGGAATTAGGCTTCTTGACACTCATAGATCTCCGCGGCCCTCAGATCTTTTATCAGGCGCCTATGACAGATTTTGCCAAGCGAGAGAAGAGAAGCTCTTTCTTCAAACGCGACCATCATCACCAGGCAAGAGACGAGCCGCAGAAAGAATGGCCTGTCGTCATTGAGTTCGGAGTCATGACGTTGGACGAGGATAAATATTCAAGTATATGCTGCTTCGTCGGAACCAATCTGGGCAAGGTGATTACGTTCAAGTTACTTCCCGCCGCCGGCGGTGCCTACACAGCTCAACTAGCTGGTGTCGTGGCCTTTGATGGACCCATAGTTTCATTATCTCCTATAAATGCCCAGACAGGCAAACCAGCTTTGGCAAGTGCTGCTACTGTTGGCTCCTTGAGAGAGGGCAAGCGAGTGGATGGTGCTCTGGTAGCCGGTAAGCAGAATAAGTCTTCTCAGCGCCCGAGATATAACTGACACGATATGCAGTAACACAAAAGGAGGTCAGGGTCTTCAGACCTGCTAATTCAAAAGGCGCATCCCGAGACTTTGATGATGTTGTTTGTCATGCGGCTTCTGTTGCGGAACTCGAGCTCCAAGGCTTCGCCGTTGTGGCCTTCTTTGACGACCAAACGGCACGTGCATACTCTATTCCAGGACTAAAGGACCTCGGCCAGGCACAACTCTCCATGATTGACCCAACCAAGCCAGCGTTTGTAGCACAAACGGGCGATGTATTTGGCTGGACAGGCCCCAGCGAAATGACCGTGATCCATGTCTGGGGCACTGGAAAGCCACTC